GAAAAGGAAATACAAAAGGGGAATGCTACGACTTTTAAGCAAAAACGTATCACAAAATCCGTCGAAATTTAAGGATTATATAGATGCGCGCTCCTGTAGTGGTAGAAATTTTCCGAAAATCGTAAATTTCTTTAACGGTGTAACGGATCGGTTTATGCTTTACTTTAGAGAATCTGAATTTTTCCTGTGAAATGTAGCAGATGAATGAATGTTGGTAAGCTCATTAGAAAAGTTAATCCAATATCATCCATCCTTTCATTTGTTAATTACACTAAATAAAAAGGACATACACATTAGTCTTGACTGTACCGTGCGGCTGATGCAAAGTAAAACTTTTTAAAAAAGGGATGAAAAATTGCGACTGCATTTTAAATTTGCGTAAACATACCTATTTTGAACTGCATGGTTGTATGTATACAACCACTTTCTCGCGCGCGTCCTTAACTGTATTTGGTGATAGTATGAAATTGGACTAACGGTAATAAACCAATATACTCGTACAGACTGCTGTGCTCGATCTCTGGAATTCTTGGAGAGCTTCCACGCAGGGCTCTGTTCAGGAATTCTAGACACAAACCATCTCTACCGACTAGAAATCTACTTCGATGTAAAAAGTGACACGAGTCCTGTAATTATCCTGTTTCACATCTATCTCGTCGCACCTAACGACGGATTCCTTTTTGCAGGGTTTGAAGAACGGGACGAAAATCCATTAGTTTTTTCCGTTAGAAATTTATATGTAATTTCTCACGGCGATCAATACCGTGATGGTGGTACTGTTCACGAACGCTAGGTGCGCTAAAAGTCGACTCTGCAAACACTTTTTTGATATACTGAAAACGTAGGTCGTTGAAAACATTTTCCTCTGCGCTTTCATCTAGTCACATGCTAAACGGATATGTTCTGTTGAACGAACGGCTTTAATATGTCTTCGTGTTTAATTTAGTTTCCTTCTATATAATGTGACATTTAAATCTCACTATAAAGAACTCTGTATTCTCAGTTCAAAGAATTAATTATCGGTTAACCATGTTGCTGAATGTAAACAACATGCGTTTCGTACACGCTGGCCAGTAACCGGTTCGGGTAAACTTAAAAATTACCGACTAAATTTGAAATTAAAAGTTTAATGTGCATGGTTTTATACTATACATATCAACTTGGAAACCGTAAAACAGATTTATCAGTTAGAGAGATTAGTATTTTTGATAAAGGTATTAATGTTGTATGTTTAGAGAATTCGATTTTTGCCAATCTAGTGTTACTGTTAAATGTTAACTATTTTATAAGTAGAATTTGAAATATTGATGTGCTCAATTTAACTTAATGTTAGCAAACCATTGGGGTCCACAAGACAAGACCAAGCCAAATATTTTAACATTGCAAATTTTGTTTCGTACCAAAACGATACATCCAATAATAGCCCCATTTAAATTTTGATACAAGTTTTATCTCCGATATACTGGTGGAATTGATATTTTTATATTCGTCACATAATTTGGGCCCAAAATATTAGACTGTGTTCGTATAATTAATAATACTAAATAAGTTGAAATGTCATAAAATGTCATCCGAAAGAAGCGGTTCAAAGCCAGTTATTGCAACTGTGAGTGGTGCTGCTCAAGCACATGCAGAAGGTGAAATGGATGCACTACTGTTAGGGAGGACAAGGGTAAGTTCTCTGTTGTATTAGGAAAATTAATGTTAGTTTACTGTACACTTTAAAATACAAACCATAAAGCTTATTTAACACCTATTTTATATTATAACTTACATGTATTTAATAAAAAAAAAAAAGAAGGTTTCAAGATTTAAGAAAGGAAGAAAATTTCATTTAAAGATATTGTAGAAGGGAAAGTGCCCATAATACTAGCGGCATTGCCGCGCTGAATGGCCAGACTAATTTTTTGAATAAGAAATGATTTTGAACGGTGCTCTCCTGTGGCATTTTTCAATTTCTTTCCTAAAGTATTTACAAATTGCATAGCTTCCGTACACCACGGTTCAAGGGTTTCAACAGCGAAAGGTAAAAACTGGTAACCTGCATTGATAATTTCCTGATATTTCCTCACCTTGTTAGCAGCAGCTTGTCTCGCAACTTCTCCAGTGGAATGCGAGGAAAGTGACAAGTGAGAAGAGGCAAGTGTATCAGAACAAGTCGCATCCCAAATTAAGTGTAGACCATGTCTGTGTCTGGGTCGTCGTGCACCCTTATCGGTGTAAAATCTAGGTAATTAAATTTAATTGATAAGGTGTTTGGGTCATTATCTCTGAGTATTTGTTCCCAATTCACATTATCTCTAACACTTAAAGTCGGTCCTCTTCGTGTCGCAAGTCCTAGATCGATTAACCAGCGCTCAAACCTACATTCGTGGATTTTCCAACCAGTCATCTGGGTGTCTAGTCTTCCACATATACAAATCTTCTGGCTCTTGAGGCCTCGTAGATTCGGTAGCACTGTTAAACTATATGATAGTAGCTCCGTCATAGTGAGTGATGCTGCGGAACACAATCTTAAAAACGATGTATATATCTGGGTTCGTGAATACCGCATGCAAGCCTCTTCAGATGTAGCTAACAGCTCTAACTTGGCGTTAGCAATGTCGACACTATCGTTTCCAAACATTAGCACTAACAGTTGAGAAAACGTTTTACTTCCTCTATATGAGTGTTTGGTTAGGTATGTTCTCTCATTCAAGTATCTTTTGTGCTGTCTCTGATCTTGTTGTGGTGTCGTATCGTGAGCTACTGGGTTAATCATTGGTCCTAGCTGTGAATCTAGTACGTCTTTTCTTAGCTTTAGGCGTCTCAGCCATTCCTTTAACCACAGTGACTTCAAATATAGCTCAGCGATTATCCTCTTCTCCGGACTTCTAAATGTTCGACGCATTTGAACAGTGTATCTAACTATATATGTATATATATATAAAGCTTTGTTTTTCTCGGAAAAAAAACTTCTGCGCATATACGATACATCACCATTCACAACGGTAAAAAATGTTGATTGGGGCATAGATCCAACGTATGCTGAAGTTACGCTTCATATACTTCGAGCTTGCAAGAGAGTGTAATAAAAGCGTCTGGGGTTTACACAGTTGAAGTTTTAAGCGCAACAATTACGGCTGTAGTAACGCCGGTACATTTATAAATGTCGACAACTCTTTTCTTTTTTAACTTGGAACGATTTAACGTTATATCCTATATTGCACATGAATATTCTCAAGGCGAAAAATGAAAGTAATAATTAATTTACTTACATTTTGCATTATATTCCAGATTCAAATTTAAGTTACAATAATAATTTCACTTTACTAAAAGGGCACAAATAATACAATCCCAGCAAATATTTTGTAATGCATTCAGTGACAAAAAAAAAGTGGAACGTGTAAATATGTGAAAAAAATGAATGAAGTGAAATGAAGACACCAAAACAAACGGATTTTTTTCAAATAACCCAAAGCTCTACATCGATTTTACATTAATGAAGACTGACGAAATAAAACTGTTACACCCCCCTATCCTCCGATTCAAAAGTTTCACGACAATCCGCCTAAAACCCAAAAAAATTACAACCAAGGCAATGAAAACCTTGAAATACACCTTATCCGTCCTACCCCTCCCCTAGGGTGATTCAGTCATAGCACATATGCGCTACATTCGGTAGGTAACAGCCACACTCTTCACTCCTTCCAAGAGTTCTTCGGCATTCGGCCGGTACTAGCATTAAGGAAAAAAAAACAAAAGTTAATCGTGAGGCATCTTAGCACAGATGAAATGACGAAAGGCTCGATGAAGATAGAAATGGTTTTCAACACAATCGCAAAGAAAAAAACTTACTCTGATTCTAGAAAGCATGTGCTCATCGAAGCTCGCACAAGTCATCTCCTTCCTCGTGTTCTCATGCATTCATCAGCTCCCACCATCGTTCGCGCACTAAAATGGATGATTATTTGAGGACTCAGGTGTAGACAAAGTGCCTACACAAATGAAGTATAATCCGGGAAGTACGAGTATAAGTCAAAATAACGTAGAAATTCCGTAGCATAGCCCCAAGCCCGTCGTCAAAATACTCAATAACTACGATACCTAACCATGATCGTCTGGTTCGATGTAAGACTTATGATCTTGGGGATGCTACACGCCTGCGGAATATCGTTTATCTCATAGCTAAGGTAAGGTCCTAGAAAGCGAGGAGCTCACTTAGCCGAATAGTCCCTAGTAGCAACGGATATGGTTTTGTTTTTCCTCCATACCTGGTCTCCAATTTTATAAACGACATGCCTACGTCGCAGGGCATACATTATTTTGTGTCAATCACGAGCGGTCCGAAGTCGTCCCACTATTGTTGAATAAACGGATAGTTACACGTATAACTACTATAACGTTCAATGTTACAGTTATATCTGAGGAGATAGAGGTCTTGTGAGCGACTGTATCTCGTGTAAAAGCGCAGTCTTAGAAGGTATAGCTGCACACCTACAAGTACACCTGTCAATTCTACCTGCCACAGGTGACCTACAGGTGCACCATCCATCTTGGTTGGTTAGAAATGTATAAGAACGGAGCAATCTATCCAGGACAAGTGACAGGTCGAGTCAGGAATTCATAAACATTACAAGTCAAAAGATCGGGTGCGATAGGTGCCTAGACATAGTACGAATTCCTGTCATTCTAATAAAGAAAGTCGCTTCGATATTGTCACGTTTCCTCGGCGTCTATCACTTAATGCCAGTTGATGCAACGATATGAAAGGCATTTATCATTGTAGTAGTAAAGCTAATTGCATCTTTTTTGTAATACGTTTTAAATTTAAATGTAAATGAAATAAGGACTAGGATATGGTACTAATAATTCTTTTAGATTTGATGGTTCAATTTATGTGGCCTGTACGAGACAGATCGAGATAAAATCTAAACACGTTACATAATTTAAGTATGTTTATTTATAATAATTAAAATTAAAAATGAATGTATTGCCCCCTTGTGAGGGGGCATCTTGTTGCACCGATGCGGGCGGAGCCGGTGCCGGTGGGCTGATGGTCTTCTAAAAAAGAAATTACTTCTTTTTTGTATCTCTCTGAAATTTTTGAATTTACATTTTACAGAAGCAATCAATCTTGTAACTACCTGCTTTTGCTGACGTGTTAGTGAATTTAAAATTTATTTTTTTTAAATCTTACCTTTGCTTATCCTTGTCCCTCCTTACCATGTCTGCCTCTTCCTTGTGGTCGTCCTCGTTTTCGTCCACCCCCTCGACCGTGTCCACCTCGAGGTACTCATCTAGGTCCACGTTCTTTATGGTTCTGAGTTCTACAGAAAGAAAAATTGTAAAAAACACGTGTATAAATAGAAATACTAATGTAATATAAATTTGATTCTGCCGTTCACTTACACATCTGTCTTTGGGACGTCGCCAACGCTTTCGGTGTCCCGATGGACCTCCACCACCTCCTCGAAAACTCTAATTTCGTTTTCTGAAAGAAATATACAAAAATATTAGCTATTTTATTTTTTACAATTACAATTTTGTATTACCTGATGCGACGGACATTGTGTGTTCTGAAAAATACAAAAAAATATGTTAACATAGTACCTAGGAGACCAGGGTTGTAGAATAAAAGGGCTTAAGACTCCTCACAGCGGTTGATTCGATTGACCATAAATTTTGAGAACTTTGAGAGCTTGCATAGAATTGAGCACCACCCAGCTTCTTTAAGGGCCGGTTAAAAGCATAGTTCAAGCGGAGATTAATAAAACGGCGATTGAACGTCAAACCAATATTGAGAGCGGTTGCGTATTATAAACACCTTTGGAAGAGCGTTTGGTTAATCTCCGTTTACGTTTACGATCTCTAGGATGGCAACACTGCGGGCGGACCGAGGACCAATCAGAGCGCAAAGTTTCAGTGGTCGATACGTCAGCTGACAGCTTTTCGCATCGGTGCACCGGCCCCGTTCGTTCTTTTCGTTTATGTGCCATTTGCCACTGTCACTGTGCTGATATGTTCATCACCTTACGAAATCGTTTTACGCAGCGCTGTTCTGCCAGCCACTGTGCCAATGACAGACAAGCCAGTCGCTTTTACGGACGCGGACGCTCATCAGAAATGAGGAAAGTGTTGGCGGTGAGCGGCCAGCAGGTATAAAACGAGGGGTGGCTGCGGCTCGATTGATATTAAGCCGAGCTTAACGCTCCTGTATGACGAAGTCGCTGGTACAGTGAAAAACCTCACTGGTAATGAAGCTGGAACTGGTGACGATGACAGCCTCACCATTGATTGTAAATTATTAATTAGTTAAACACCCCGTTGTGGAAAACCGTACAGAGAAGACGAGATAAAATGATACGACACGTGCTCAGACACGGAGAATTAGTACAGCTAGCTATAGAAGGTAGGGTAGATCAAGGGGTAGGATGACAGACAATTAGTCCTACAATCCTGTTTTCCAGGAATCTAACAGTATCCTTGGATAACCGAAATCTCTGCCGAAATTCCTTTTCATCCCACTTTGTCGAAATGATCAACACGTTTTCTGCTCTTCTTCTAATTAACTCATTCTATGATGAAGAGTCATCGTCGCTTACTGCGCACTCTAACCGATCCCTTGCACGTCCAATTCCAATTATTTCCATTTCGTTATAAATAGAAATAATGACGAGTTTGCGGATGTATATTTCATGTTATAGAACTTGTTATAACTTATAACGTAAAAAAGCTTAAGATTTGTACCGTATAAAGACACTTTTATACCTTATGGTTATAAATAACGTAAATCAATCAAATTCCAGCTGTTGTAGTTCCTTCAATCTGTTAGGATAAGCTAATCGTTGGAGCAACATGCATATCCCTTCAATACTTAAGAAGAGCGGTAAATGACATACTTTTTAGGTATTACCATCCAGAATGTGCTGGTCACATGTTTCAAACCTGTTGGGTAATTGCAAAGCTGAGTACAAATGTTGTATGTCATTTTTCTCAAATCGGAATAGGAAACTAAAATTATCTAAGGGAATGGAATCAAAATTAAACTTATTTATGGAAAAAAGTTTTTTCCTTTCTGCAATTGCTCTTTCAAAAGTCTCGTATAGGATAGCACTCGCAATATCATCATCTTCTAACAAAAGTATTTCATTTTCAGACAGCTTCGCCATTCTCACAACATAGTAAGTGTAAGGTTAGGATCTTTAAAATCATAAACAATAAACTTATCCGCAAGCGCGTTTCACTAAATTTCCCTTACGTTATATCATAAGAAAAAATGGACGTTTAACGTAACGAAAAATACGTGTCCGCAAACTCCCTAATGACACAAAACAAAATGGTTACGATAACCTCAATTCATTACACGTTCGCGCGCCTAATCTCCGTTTGGGCGCCAAAACCCGAGAAAATTGGCGGGTTGACTACAATCGGAGATTGAGCTCTGGTTAAAGACTAAGCGGCTTTTATAATACGCGCAATCGCACTCAAACTACGGTTGAACGCCAATCTGCGTTCAAGCGGGCTTTATAATACCGGCCCTAATAAGTTCGTCATTAGTCAAGTCCAGGTCGCAAATACCACCGCGGAAATTCTTTTTCGAAGTTTGCACGGTATGGTATGTCTCGAATTACCAAGTGCACAGGCAATTGACGCTAAATTACCATCCCCATGTTTTTGTTTGTCTTTAAAGAATGTTGAAATCTGCTGTTTAACCATACGATTCACTCGTTCAGCAGAGTTTTGCTTGAGGATAGTAAAATGGTGTAAACCCCAATTTAACTTGATAACGTTCACAAAGGTATACGAAAAGTTTACTTCTCATCTGCATATCGCAGCCGTTGTCACAGATAAGATATTGAGGGGATCTAAAAACAAGAAACACCGACTCCCCAATGTGTACATCTACACATTTACTTACGAGGTCACCTTCAACTAGTAAATGGGTGATGTCCCTGGATAGATCTAGGAAATGATCAGACAATTCACAGATTTCGCAATCCTTGCAACCATCGGAGACATTGGAAATGATAACCGTATAACCTATAAAGCCGTAAATAATCTTTATTCACACGGAATAATCAAACGTAAACTTTTTGAATAATAAGCGGCGTAACATGCTTGTAATACTATCACGGGCGATGTGCGAGAATTTTAAATTCGAATTAACAAAACCCTTGCGCACTGTTAAGTAAGTACCGTATCGACAGTATCCGCGACTTTTCCTGAATCTACCGATTGCAGTCGCGTACGGTACAATCAACACTAGACGCGACACCACTGCCTTCTTTTCTACTCGGCACACCTGGTAAATTCATACCCATACAAAACATAAGCATTTCCATTGCTAAAATGGGCAACATTGTTGTCGGACTTTTATGGTATAGATTGAATTTTAATAATGCAGAATCTATATATATATATATATATATATATATATATATAACAAAGGTGAATAAGTTTATAAATAAATTTTGTACCTAACAGATTTTACGTAATAAATGAACTTTAAGAAACGTCTTTGAATTTTCTCCAAATTATCCACTAAATATTGATGCCGGGGGTTCCAAATTATTGCAGCATACTCCAGCTTAGCACGGATGAAAGAGTAATACAGCATCTTTACCACACCTGTGTTCTCAAAATTACGGCACTGGCGAAATATAAATCCTAGCATCTTCAATGCACTCGAGCACACAAAATCACATGATATGTCTCGTCTAGATCTTTTCACCGTTTGGGGGTACCCTCCGTTCAGTAGATATGAAAGTTTTGACAGACATTCCACTTGCCCTCTTTTGACACTTCGTTTTTAAGATATTCGCTTCAATTTCACCAATAGATGTCTTGTCTAGGCGATTCATTTTGCCTGTGTGAGTACTGCCCTCCGACAAATCGTGAAGAGTATGGGAGGTCACGCCGAAACATTGTAGTTTGTTGAAACCAATTCATGTCGATAAGACGACTCATTAGAAAACCATAAAGGGTAGAACGTGTATCTCCCAATAGATGCCCTAATATAATGGTAATAGTTTCAAATTAATATTATTAGAATACTTCATTCATAATTTTCAGTACATACAACACTAACGTTTCATAATTAATATATCTATGGTATAAAACATGCAACCATCTGCTAGCGTGGTTCAATGACACAGTTATAGTTTTCTAAAACGAGTGGAATCTCATTTTTTGTGTAGAGTGTGCGCTAAGTCCGTAAATATTTAAATTTTTATTTCACATTATATGCCGTTTCCATAGAGATTACACGATTTAATTACATTTAAAACTTCGTCCTCCACTATAAGCAATCTAAAAATGTTTACTTAATGTAAATGGACATGACATAGCTCTTAGATATTTAACAGCACCATTTGTAACCGAGCTAAAATGTCTACTACGTAACAAAATTTAGAATTCTGGTGAAATTCTCAAGGGGCGCTTTCAGACGTTATTGTACAACTACTGAGACTCCGAGCATAACTTTGTTAACTACCTCTCTATATTACATTAGTGGATGTGAAAGCAGACCGGAAACAAAAAGGGTAATAAATTTAAATTTCATTCATGGCGTAAAATTATTCCTTCTTGTGCAGTATGTTATACTTTTAGCTTATTCATGTTTCTTAATGTTTGTCATTTATTCTTGAATATAAATTATAAATTAAGGATTTCAAAAGCAATAATGGTGATTCCGTTTGTTTGGAGAGTTCGCTTGGAAAGTCGAGATGTATGATGATGAAATTGTTAATCGGATTTCTGAACTACAGCGATATATAGAGAAATCCATCATGAAGACGCACTATGCTAATCAGGTATTTTTAAGAAGTCAAGACATTAATCTTATTCGCCTATCTGAAATTAGTTGTGAGTTTTCGAGTAAACATCTAATACAACGAAGACTTAGCTTCATTTGCCACAAGAAACTGTGATCATTTTTGTAATGTTTTGATTACGCTACGTCATCCTTATCCTTATTGTTTATCGCAAAATTACAACAGAAAAGTCATTTGAAATCATTTATATTAATATTACGGTATACATGAATCTGAAACTTAACTTAAAGTATGAAATTTTATAAATACAGGTAGAGCTAAATAAGTTAGTACAAATCCACTTGCAAATTGCACTTCATCAATGGAATTATAGTAGAAAAATGTAACCTCTCTCACTACACATTGGAATCCGTGCATCGCGAACCAAATTACATGAATAATAAGTGTAACCTGCTAGTTCAACTTTTTCCACTATTCCCCATATTTTTTCACAGAGACTAAGATCTGGTGAAGCTGCTGGTCATGGAATTGTCATGGAACGTTGACAAAAATCTATTCTTCGTTGCCTCACGCTATAGGCGGTCTTCCTGAAACTGGTCCAGGTCTCATACCTAGTTCAATTTTTATACTTGCGATATTATTTCATAAATAGTAAGCCTGTTAACAATCTACAATAATTGACAAACAATGTTGTCATGCAACTTTAACTCTAGCTTATTAGCTTATTTACAACTTACTTTATACATTACTTTTGTCGTAGAATCTTGTAAAAAAGAAATACATTAAAATTATGAATGTATATATATATATATATATATATATATATATATATATATAATATATATATAATATGTGTCGAATGCAAATTGAGCAAAATTTATTTTTTCAATTTCCGGGTTTCTTTTCCGATCACAACGGCCCCTCATAGCAGAAGTTAAGGAATTAAAAAACAACCTTGGATGCTGCGTTATAATTACATATGTTCATAACTGCGCTTGGACAATCCACCATCAAAATAAACAGTGATGAATGGAATACCATCACCATCAACGTTTCTTTTCGCAGCATCGATTCAGAAGTTCGCTTCAGTTTGTTACGTTCACTTTGAGCAAACATAACAAAATTCTCTTGTGTAAAAATTGCATGGAGAACATAGCTTTTACAGAATCGGATTTACGCATGATAGAACTAAACATGTTGGTGGTCGCTAATTGTATATATTTTAAAACCGTCCTCTTCTGTTTAGAATTTTGTATTTGTGCCCGTCTCAGGTGAGATGTTTTCTGATTTAGCTTGAGGGCATAACTTTTTAAAGCGGCTTGATTCCTTTAAGCATAGTCTCTTTCTCCTTGGTGTATCTGGCAAGTCGCATACATCTTCTAAATACCGTTTGATAGACGAGGACGATGATTGAGATATTTCGACAACAATAATAAGAAGTTCTGGTCTAGCATATGTTGGTGTAATTTGCTTTTTGGTAGTTACGGAATCATTAAAACCTTCGTTGAATTTTATCGGCACTGCATTTGGATGGTCTTGTCCGGTGGGCAGTGGTGTTTGATATATCCGAAGATTTGGAATGCTTCTTACAAAGAAACTTATTTCTTAGCTCGTCACCTTGTAGAGGAGCTAGAGCACTGTTCCCACTACCTATTCAAAATCCATTTTCGGCAAAGGGAGTCATTTTTTAGAAAATGGAAAAGCACAATGTTGTCCTTCCACGTAGAGGCACAGTCTAAATATGAGCACTTTGCACCTCTTCTAGCTAGACTAGATTGGTAAGAGCTGGTAAAATTTTAGGCGCCACTAACTTTTGTTTCCCTGTTAGGGGGCCGTGCTCAAAAATTAGAAAATAGCCCTCTGGTGGTCGAGGAAGCTAAATGTGTGATTTCCTAGTGACGTCCAGCGGTTACTGCCCGCCGCGACGTCCAGCAGTAACGACTGGCCGTAGCGATTAGGAAGGAATTGCTGGAAGCGTCTGGCGTCCGCGATTTTGGCGTATGAAATAGTATTAAATAGTTCAGAATGTACAGTTGTGCAGTTTGAGTTGCTTGTGCTCCAGCAGTTACTTGCAAAGTGCATTCCGTTGAAATAAGCGTATTATGTGATATAGGACCGATAAAAAAATGTCGCAAAAGTTTACCCGTGCTGACGATGAATTATTAATTGACCAAGTACGCGAATTTCCTTGCATTTATGGCCACCAAAATAAAGATTTTAAAGATTATCAAATTCGGTAAAATGTGTGGAATCAAACTGGCCTACGTCCGCGTCTTGACCTGTTTTTGAGCAGTCGGGACGTAGCCGCTGACGGCCGTTGCCGAGACGCTTCAAATAACACCGTTGCATTCAAATGCGTTGTATGTGTCATTAACTGCTGGACGTCGCGGCGGACAGTAACCGCTGGGCGTCGCGTCGCTAGGAAATCGCACCTTAAGGCTATAAAAAGGAGACAAATAAGAAACACAAATCAAGAGGATCATAAAATAATGTTTAATCTCCCGTGGGACTTCTTAAAAGTACAAAATAAATTATGACTCGGATAATGAAGCATAAGGTTGGATGAGTAAACGGGTAACAATCAATGATTGAATATATTAGGTGTCAGATCAGACTGCTTCTTATACTTTAAATGCTTGCGAGATCTCACAATTACAAACGAAACGGCAGTAATAATGATGACTTCATCAAGAGGGTTTACCCACCAAAACCCTGTCCTCTTTCAGCTAGTGGACATGACCGGGAACCGTTTATCACATTACTTCCGGTCATGTTTTGCCCGGGGACCGATGGTCGCCCCCTAGTTGTTAGCCATGTTCTGTGCTCCCTATCTATCGATCTTTGTTCGAATAATCTTTAAAATCATTTCTGCTATCGCATTCCAGTCTTCTTCGCTGCGTAGTAGCAGGTCCGAAATGTTTGTGCTGGTAACGCCTTCTCCGCACTTGACCTCCGCCTCATATATATGCAACTAACATCTCATTTGCGTATTAATATTAGGAATATTTGTAGAAAAATGTTTATTTGTTTATTTATTTATTCATTTACGGTTAACCATTATAACAAAAGAAAAATATACGAATTAATACATATAAGTAAAACGAAACGTGAAAAGCAGTGCGTAAGTGAATCAACCAAGTAAGTAATAACTTAACGTGCGATTTATAAGATGGAAATAGATATATAGGATAGAAACAAATATATGAAGTGTTACGTATTACAAAAGCTAAACAACTATATAAAACTAACTCAAACGATATACAAGATGGAAATATTAAAACTAAATATGGTTACTCCAAGAGAGATCGATTTTCTACAAATGATAATTTTTTAAACAAGGATATAGGCAAACCAAAAAAACTAAAATTCTTGCTAAGAGTGTTGGCTGAGGTGCACATTACAATATTATATTACATTGTAGCGAGTGGCGGTGAAGCGACTCGCTCAAAACCAAGAGAAAAAAAAAGCGGGGAAGCCGCAGATCGGTAAGATCGATATCATATACTTAATTTATTAATAATGCAATAATTTAAAATAGGGTGCACCATGCGCAATAATTATTTATGGGTAATATACAATTATAATTGTAAGGATTATCACATATGTGAAGCCTTCTTTCAAGTACGACACGATGTCCAGGGTCCCGTAAGTCTTTACATTCATTGCCTTATATGAGACATGGAAACGAAGAAAGAAATGTATGTTATTGTTTAAGAAAATTTAATTAAAGAAGTAATGAATGAAGAGCTACAAAAACAAATCTAAATGAATTAAGCAAAGATGAAAAAGTACAAAAATAAAGAAATGATCAATAATAAAAACATAACTAAAAACTATGTCACAGAATATGGCTTACATATTTATTTTCCTGTAAACGATAATTTAAAATTTTAAATTGATTGTTTGAAACTTACCCTCTGCGGTTAAAATTTTGCTGCTTCTGAAAATGTTTATAAAATTAAAAAGTATGTTAAAAATGAAACGTATATTTACCTTTTTTTTAATTGGGTCCTTGCATATAAAGACCCTGTAGTTGCACGTATTGCCACATTTTGTCAATGTTTGAAAATGTTTGTGTCAAATGCAATTTTATTCATTTCGGTTTTTCTGAGTTCGCTTTTTAAATATTCACGCACTTCTGTCGACGTGTCAAACGGTCGTAACTTTTCTTAATAAATTCGTACAACTGTCGATCCACCTTGACGCTTTGATCCAAAATGTACTCTTAGATTATGCTACCGTAGGGATATAAAAAGTGCGTCTCTCCCGTCGGTTCGTCGCGAATCGTACAATCGTCTCGAAGTCGAAATACACCAATCCTGTACATCGTGTGCATGATTTGGAACGAAACATCCGTAAACGACGTGTGTTCTTTTGCAAAATTTTAAACTTGGCGTTACCAGTCGACTCCTTGTAGATCTAGATCTGGTCGATCTTCTACTACTTGTCGAAGATGTGGATCGCATGCTGACGTCAGAGTCGGAACATTCGTCTGCGCTTGGATGCGCTGCTTGTTCGACAACTTCCATAAACTTCGTTGTCAATGTTTTCTGAATAATCGAACGGATTGTCCGGTCTCGGTTCGTATACTGGAACGACGTTGTTGCATAGTTCTCTTAGCAATACCGATATTTTACGACTTCTGTCGCTATGCTAAAATCTGTCAATGGCATTCTCTTCTTCATTAAATACTTGTATGTTTCGACATTAAGTGAGACGTAATACCCGCAATTGTAATAATCACTTGCACATTGTAAGTTGCACTATTTCTACGTTGATATCTTCGTCTTTACGGAATAGCGAATGGCAGCTTTAATGGCGGGCAGGTACGTTGCACCTCTATTTCCGTCCAAATGACGCAGGAAGGAAGATCGGAATAAACATAACCTCGAAATTTTTCGGGTTACCCCAAGTTCCTTCGTGTGGAAATGATTGTCTTCCTTAACAAACGGCTATCGTGTAGTGAACGTTTCGTACGATGGACTTGCATTTGTCGTACACCATGTAGATTATAATGCCATGTATTCCACGTCCACTTTCGATCTTGGATTGTAGTATCCCTCCAAAAATTTTCGTTGCAGAATACATAATAATCGTCCATAATCTAGGGCCTGGTTATGTCGTTTATCGTTGGCGGTATACGAAGTTCTGCATTTTCGGTCGGCGTTAGTATATTGATCTGTTTTTTGGTACAAGAAGGCGGCGGACTATCAGATGACAAACGTGACTCTTCTTCAACGATCGACGCATTCTTCTCTTCTTCCTTTCTACGTCATTAATTTTAATGCGTTACCTGATAAACCTTTTTTTTAAGGAGAAAAAAATGTTTTGAGTTAGAAGAATTTGTTTGAAAATAAAGAAAGCCTGTGTAATTAGAAATAAAACTTCCTTACAATCATTTAAAAATTATAAACTCATAAACAAATTATTAATAGTTACATGATTAACAAACGGATAAATCTCTCGCCAGGAAAGATTCCCGGTCACAGAACACCTGATCCCGGTCTACAGATTGTAGATCGGCACAAGGTATGCTGTAATCGGCAATCTTTCCTAGCGAGAGTAATACCTTTTATTTTACATTGTGAATAAAATATAATACAATAATGCTCAAACTTACGTCGTCCACCCTTTGATCTTGAGTGGTCTTTGCATCCTTTGAGATGTTGGAAAGTTCTAAAATAAAGTACACAATTAGAAAATTGCCACAGTAAATGTACATTTTGTATTATTCCAAATTTTACAAAAAAATGCAAGTACAAATATTTATTTTATCCTTCATGCCACTCTAATGAAAGGTCTCAACGAAAGGAATCAATGTCTGCCAACTATAGGCCCCCTTGACCCCTTCTCTCGAAAATGGTTTATCGGAGGGGAGTACTCACAAAGTCAAAATGAAAATGATTAAAGGGGTGACCAGTGTGGAGAATGTGGGCAGCAAACGAGGATTTAATACTAGAGGAGTTGTTATTTTTAATACAGGAGAGGTGTTCTTTTATCCGGGTAGATATAATTTCATCCCAGTTTATCCTATGTAGGTGGCTTGACAAAGGGAGCACTAAAGTTGGTAGACACCGGATTTTTCAGTCGGAGGGATAGGACCTTTGGTGTGAGAAATGACTGATTTTAGAGATTGTTCAGCTTTAAATATTAAATTAAGGTTGTATTGTTTAAAAATATTCGAAAAGCAATTGGAGCCTTTCCCAATGAAGGGAAAAAGTTGAGAGATATGTTCGATTCTAATTCTAGGGTAAAACGGATATTTTGGTGAACGGAGTTCAAGATATTGAAACAGGAATCCAAATCAGAATCATCCCCCTCAAAAACTACGAAAATTTCATCAACATAACGGCGATAAAATTTGAAATGAGTTATAAAGGTAGGGTTCGTGAGAAGGAATTCTAACTCTAAATTGGCTAGGAAAATTGCTGCAAGGAAAGGAGAAACGTTATTCCCCATAGGGAGTCCTGATTTTTGCATATATTGGGTGGAATTAAAAAAGAAAAATTATTGCTTACGGCACATACCTAGACAGTTAAGCAGAAGGCTGCAACTCTTATCTTATAAGTTATCAGAAACATCGGAATCGTTGAGTAATTGATCCACAATCTTGGAAGGGTATACTGGGAAAAAGATTCCGGCTCGGAAGGTCGACAATTCCATCAATTAATATTTAATTAATTCTAGTTTCGATGCCCAAACCAAACGTTTTCAGGTTCCAAAGCTACGACTCGGGTAGGTGAGCCACTTACGTTGTAAGTTGTATAACCGGCGCGGTTGCAAAAAATCTCCATACTTAAATGCGGACGTAATAGCGTAACTTTTTATATTCTTTATAATAGACAGATTTTGCAAGTACCAACTTTTCTTTTGCTTCTGCAATAAGCCTCTGAATGGACGATGTATTATCTTTTTCAACCGAAGACAGACACTAGTTTTTATAAGCAAACGCTGAGGGACCTTTCCATAGCAATGATGGAGTTACGAATAAGCCCATTTAATTTGACATGTTATCGAGGTTATCGTCAATATGATTTTATGTTATTTCCCTAATTTTTAAATTATATTGCAGATATAATTAAAAAAAATACTATAAGAAATGCGTGTATAATTGGTCTTTAAAACTCGTTACGCGTGCTAAAGACTTGATACACTTGGTCCTTAATATACTATTGAATTGGCAGTTTTGTAGTAACTAATTGCAATATTCTAGTTTTCTTGCGTAGTCATCTTCGGAAAGGTGTTCGTGCAGCTGACATTTTAAGGATCGACGAATATCACTCTCACGCGATTTCTCTTATTGATGATCTACGGTCTTGCACCACAAAGCCTAGAACATCAATTTCCTTATCTTCACTCACAATTAGTTTAGCTTATTCCGCATTTTGTTCCAAAGAAAAACAATTTACAGTTTGGTCAAACTTCTACGGTTACAACGAGTACAGCTTACAAAATATTTTTAATCTCTGTACATGAATTAATCATAATAGAATAAAGTAATTTGAACTAATGAAACTGATATCAACGCCTTCCCTATTTAATAATCAATATCAGTACAAGAGTGACGGTTGTGTTTAAAATGGGTCATCGAACTACAAAACTTAATTAATATTTTTTACCTCTACTTCGTGTGTAGCCCAAAATTGCTTTGTAGTAACGACCATCTGATTTACCTCCATTGTCACGAAAGGCAACCAATAAACCGATTCTCGGCGTAGTGGGCGCCTTCATGGAAATGACGAATTATATGATTGATATGTTTGTAGTATGAAACCGTCACATATTGAATTTTGAGTTCATTAAAGTCTGCCGATTAATTATATGGCTTACGTTACTGGTATCATGTAAATTAGAGAGAAGACGATATTCAAATAATTTGTTTTGCTCTCAATTAGCATATAACATACATGGGTATCTCTTTCAGAATTATACATTCGCACAGATTATTGCTTGTCAGTTTCTAAAATTCGAATAAGAGAAAAGTGACAACCGCCAAAATTGAATTTTTCACATTACAGTATAAAAGGTCGAATGAAAGAAGGCTTTAATTAAATTCGGTTCTCCTATTAGTACTATTACCTTTTACGAAAGGGGCATAAATTTGATTTTAAGCGTGTTCAATATAATCTGTTTGATTTGATATCGTTTGCGTATCCGATAAATTTGGTTAAGTAGCTTTAAGTAGATATTCCAATATCTATCACATTCCTTGCAGGAATTTATCGAGTTTCCCGTTCAAATTAAGTTAACCGCATCAAGTTTTGAAACCTACCTTCGGGGATAATTAGAGTTAAGTGTATCCGGAAGCCAGTTAAAAGTAAGCGACATTATTAAATCTTACTGTCTGTAACTTCATCTTCAGATGGACATTGAATAGAAAATACTTTTTTACTCATCTATATTAATGATCACTTACTGGGCATTAATTTAAAAAGTAACTTAATATTTTGGGGTTTTTATATACAGGTTGTATCAAATTTCGTGTTAAGTACAGATATCTCGCTTATTAGCATAGAGTTCGTTAAATGGACAAAATGATCCTCAAGTTATGCCTAAATAAAATCAAAACAAAAAATGTACACCCTATTTAACGTTTCCTAAATATGGCGAAAAATAACATACTTAATTGACGTTTTTTATTTTTGGGTTTAAAATCGTTATTTGGGGAGATATTTAAAAACTAAAAAGACTACTTTATGGAACTCTTTCTGTTGTTTTAGATCGTCTTTGGGGTTGTGGGTTAGATGGTATTCCCCATGTGGGAAGAAGGTTCCCCCGCAATTGGACGACCGAGACGTATTCCCTTCCGCTCCAGAAGATTGGAGGGCGGTCGATCCAATGCCCGTTGTGACCTGAGTCGTGGCTCTGCCTCAGTACGATGACTCCAACCTTCATTCCTCGCTTGCCGCGTCGTCGTACCGAAAGTGTTATTGATCCAGGAGTCCAGTTTCCGCACAAACTTTTTACAGTAAGGCATTTCCATGACTCCTGCAGTTATTGGGTCTGCGGTAGCTCGCATTTTAGCGAAGCATCTATGAAGTGACCCCGGCACTAAGGTGACGAAGGAGGGTACCCCAAGTCCTCCGAGGCGAATGGGGGCGTGGATGAAGGCATCCGCACGGGGAAGGTGTAAGGCGCGTCTGACGGCGACACGCACGAGGCGGACCGCACTCTTCAACATGCCCTTCCCTACTTTGGTACACGTCAGATCATTCAATATCCTAGGGATTAGATAGGTCTTGATAAGTACCAGCTCAGCTTTTGAGCTGGTTTAAGTCTGGCCTTCCCTATCCGAATCAATCCTTCTCTCCACGAAGCGCTTTCTGGGCCAGCCCCGCCTTGAGCAGAATACTTGCCCTCCAAGTACTTGAACAGCTCCCCCGCTTCCAGGGTCCGCAGTGGGACCCCTTTCACGAAGAAACGTGAACTAGTCGAGGAGAACAAGATCTTCTTGCCCGGCACCACGCGCACCACAAGAGCTACGCTCTTGGTTGGATTTAGGCTGAGCCCTCTGCGCTCGCAGAAATCAGTCATGGTTCGGAGTAGGGTTTGGCACTTTCCATACGTGTTGCTGACGATCACGACATCGTCTGCATATGCCAAGCAGGAGACCTGCAGATGGTCGTTTAATCTCAGCCCGAGTTGAAGGTTTTCCAGCTTTACCACAAGCTCGTCAAGCACCAAGTTGAAAAGGATCGGTGACAGAGGGTCACCTTATTTGACCCCCCGAAGGAGATCAATTTTTCCGGTTTCCCCGGAATCCAATTGGATCCGAGTACTCGCAGATCGGTAACCCTCCAGCAAGAAACTCCTCAACCTGGCGTCCACCCGAAAGCGTCGGAGTGCTCGCTCGCTCGAATGGTGCGAGACCGTATTAAATGCCTTTGCCAAATCTAGGCTCGGGAGATGGTACGGCCTGCATGCCCTCCTCCTCTGTTCTATGAGGGCTTTGAGAGTTAAGGTGTTAAGAGAGTCATAGTTACTCCCGCCGTTTACCCGCGCCTTTTTGAATCTAACACGATTCAGTATAAATCAATTTAGGTACCAAAAGAGATACTGGTTTATTGAAACAAATGGCAAAAATAAAAATTCTCTCCACAATGGGGTAGCGTAACACACAAATATTCAAAATACCCCCCCCCCCCCTCCCGAATACTTACTAATTATTACTTACGTTACACAAAAATCTTAGTAACTTCAATGTACACTTGAAATTTCCCAGTTTAACCCCCAATTAAGAATGATCGATTAAAATTGATTAGTGAATCTTAAAACAAGTTTCCACAAAAAATTGATATTCCGGACCAAAATTCGCACGTATAAGGCCAAGTACAAGTAACACATATAAGGCAATTCTTACCTTGCATAAGGTTAGCTGTCGATGCCAAGAGCTCCGTTCTC